GGTCCTGGTTCCCCCGGGACTCCAACCCAGAACCCTCTGGTCCTGGTTCTCCCGGGGACTCCAACCCAGAACCCTCTGGTCCTGGTTCCCCCGGGACTCCAACCCAGAACCTTCTTGCTAGAAGGTGACAGTGCTAACCACCACACCATCGTGCCGCCCCAAAACTAAATATATAAACTAAATAAATCTGAGAGCTGCTATTAGAAACACTTGCTGAAATAAATAATATTACAATTTCAGAAATGTCTAACGTTGTTCAACAGTGTTTGAGTCAACACGGTTCCAGTTTGTACAGATGGGACTTCTGTTTCCAGCAGGATTTGCTTCCTTATTTCATTCCTGTTGGTTGTGTTTTTATATTTTAGTTTCTGGGTTTATTTTTGGCGTTTACCAAACCGTGACGATGTGGCATTCATGTCACTCCCGGGTCGGTGGTTAGTAGGTGTAGATTAAAGGAGGATCATCCTGAATATCTGACACTGTCTCTGGCTCTGGTCCCCTTCACAGACATTTGCAGTAATCTCTGAGCCTTTTGCATCACCCTACGTGGGAATACCATTTTTAGCCACCATGGGTGACTGTCAAAACTGCAAAGTGTCATAAGCAGAAAGCAGAAAGCTGTGGCTTGCAGTGCAAACCCCCAGATGCTAAAATTCTTTAACCCTATAAAGCCAAATGTGTCGTATTTGATCCAGTTTCTGAAGTCTTTTGGATCTGAGACTTTCTGCATCATTCAGTGGTAAAAGCTTTGCTCAAACCCCTGTTGTACACATTCAGATATACCCGATAACAGCCAGTAGAAGACTACACCAACATATATTTTTAACTCATTTGATCAAAATAATTACTGTTTTTTTTCTTCATATGTTGTTGAGGGGCCAAAGAAAGACTTCAATATTCTTCCTATTTTTCTTGGATCAGGCTTTAAAGGGTTAGGCTTGCCATGGTTCTGCTCGAGGTTTCTGCCTGTTAAAAGGAAGTTTTTCCTTGCCTGTGTCGCCTAGTGCTTGCTCATGGC